CCCAACATTGTTAAATTCGGTAAAAGAATTACCACTTCTTCTTAGGGTCCATAAAATTCCATTCTCAAGGTGACCCAGGCTTTCAGGACTAACATTTAAAGCCAATGGTACCTTAGGGTAATTGTGATCTATCCTTCATTCCATTTAGCTTTCGCAAGTAGAAAGGTGATTCATAATCTTACACTAGGGCTAAAACAAATTCAAGACAAAGATGATCGCAGTGGCATGTGAATTTACTTTCATAATCTCTAACTGCGACAACCTAAGGTAATTCCGAGAAATTCTCTTGCCCTGCAAAACATTTTGATAAAGCTAAACAACCACATCTGAATCCATCATGTTGCGAGTTCATAATCGTATAAGCTGAATAGTGAAGCAAATTGGAATAAAAATTGATTGTTTCATTAAAAGTACCTAACATTGTGTTACCTGTTTCTTAAGCACACATGTGCATGTCTGTGAATGTGTCTGAGAAAACTTTAAGAAACACATATCTACGAAATTTATATATTTGAAATATTTGCGCTGCTTCTGGGATTTTGACTTAGTCATAAAGAAACTGAGAGCGCCTTTGTCGCCAGCGCTTTTGAAAATTAAATAATTTTTCTATTCGAGGAGAAGTGGAATGTCAAGTTGAGACATTTTCAAGGCCTACTGCTGCTAGCATCCAGTTGGGGTCAACACACGAGACTGGCTGCTTAATTTTCTTATTTGTTAGGGGAGGATACTAGAGTGGTGCCAATCAGTCGTCACCAAGTTAGCAAATTTCATCCTTGACCTTTGGACACTGCACACAAACTCGGAATCCGAGTTTTATAAAAAGCATTTAAAAGCACTTCAATATGATTATCCCCTCGGACCGTGCTCTAACAGATTTTCTTTCTCAATATATGCAGTAGATATCTTCCGACAACTAAGTATTTCTTAAAAACTGGTTAACGTTATCTTCGAATAGAATCCCTGAAGTAGTGGCGTGAAGGTATCGTTAACTGGCGAATCATGAGAGGAGTTCGTCGAACGAGCAATAGTGGACGCTAGGCTACGGGATATCTTGGGGTACCATTTACAACTGCACTACTTCTATGAACCTTTCGATAAATCACGGAAAGATGAAGTAAGCTAGTGCCGAGAATGCTGTCTTCTGTTAAGTTGACTCTCACCTCGAAAATCAAAACAAAATCAAGTGAATTGGAAGAAATACGACGACTTGGTCGAAACTTCTGCAAAGATGAAGGAACATGCGTGAACCAAAAAAAATCTTGTAAATAAGTAATCGATTAGAATTAGATGAAAAAAAATTTTAGTGATTCATTTCTCAGTTCTTAGGCACTACATACCGCATACATTTAGCTCATGATC